ATGCTGCTCAATCACAGCTGCCTGATCATGTTTTTCATTAGCAATTTAGAAAGGTTGATTGTGTGTCTGTGTGAGTGAAAGACCGAGAGCGAGCGACAGAATTTCTGTTTTAACCTTCATTTTATGGACGCACAGTTTGACGCCACTGGAAAAAATCGCAGTGTCTGCCCAACATACAAAGAGATGAAGTACCGTGTGTGAAACAACGACGGATGTCTGCTGTTACCACTCAGTGCTTCTCATGCCGGACGTTTTTAACTGGTTTCGCGCTTCTTTTCCCCAGTGGGTTCAGATGGACAGGCTGCAGTGGACACTTCTGCGGCACCGCCATGTTGTTACTATGGAACGGACACAACAGGCAGTGACTTCAGTTGGTAAGTCTTTTAGATTTAAAGTATTACGGTGAGAAATCTGCTTTTGGGAATGAAACATTTCCAAGAAAAACTGATAAATTAGAAAATGCTTTATTGGCTATTAAACAAGCCAGTCAATTAAAAAAATGTGTGGGGCATGTCTATTCAAGACAGTCTTTTCCCCTTTGCCTAATTAATTCTGTTTATAGCTTTTATAGTACTGAGTGACATGGGCAAGGAAAATGCCAATTAAAGTGTTTAAACCAGATAAACTTTCCATTTTTTGTAATGAGATTTTTTTTTTGGGGGGGATTCCCTTTGCAACTACATATTTCTCCATTGTTCTCACAGATATGCTGCCACAAGTCTGCTAGCAGAAGTAACTGTGACAACATAAGAATAAACTGGCACGTTTGTGCTCCCTGACTTCAGTTTAGAAAATGGGGCTTGATGTGAATGTGGTTTGTGCCATTGCATTAGTTTTCACTTTAAAGTGGATCCCTTCTCAGATGATATGATTTGTCTTGAGTCTGAGGATGCAGACAAATTAAAAGCTCCTTAAATGTGAACACCTACAAATTGTCATCTTGAAGACTATCCTGATGTTGCACTGGTTTCTCTTGCAGACATGCTGGCACCCAGTGTTAAACAGACATGAAGGCTGAGTGTTGGCAGTGGAGTAGAACTACACACTGCTTGCCTTTAGGCGTAAAGGTAAGTTAAATTCAGTTTATAGACGTGTTCTGCATTGAACTATTTAGCAGTCTTGTCATGTTCACATCTTTGTCATTCCTGGTGTAATTTCAGACTGATGTTAAGCTAGATTTGCTTCAGACTCTTAGCTAGTGTAGTTAACAGGGACCAACTGATGCCACAGACTCACAACATTACAGCAGCTAGATGTTGCTGCTTACTCAGATTTTACTCCATCCAAAGTGGCATGAGTTTCCGATGGGGATGCACTGATCAGTCATTTGTGGGAGGAGAACATCCAGACTGACACTGGCTGGAAATTCTTGGACAATTCAAATCAGTTTCTTGGTGGGTGGTGTGTGGTAAATCTAAAGTTATTACACTGAGACTGACACTGGCCTGGCGCTGAGCAAAAGGCTGTTGTGAATAGATGAGATAATAGTGGTTGTGGTTGTGTTGCAGGCAGAGGATCTGTGGTACTGATATCTACAGACTGAAGGTGGGTCTCACTGACAACTTTTACTTGTATTTAAGTTTTTGCCCTGTATGCACTGATTAGTGAATAATAACACATTATGCTGCAAGGAGCTCATGCTGACTGACTGCAGGTATGTGTGATGTACATGAAGGATGTGGAGAAATGGCGTGAACCCAATCTTGTACTGCTCTGACAGAGACTGGCTCATCTCTGCTGGAGAATCTTAGTATTGGGAGAGAAAGTCAGGACTTGGCACAGGTTTAAGTAAAAACAATTTACCAGAACCTGACTGAAGGCCTGAAACATGCTGCTGGGAATAGTTCAGTTACCTTCACTGTGCAGATTGAATAATAATAGTAATACTTGTGCTTTGGTTTTGTGTCGACAGGGATCCTGACAGACAGTTTTGGATGACTTGGGGATGCAACTGCTATCTTGGCTACATCGACCAGTTTCGGCAAATGTCATGTCAGGATGTGGAGTCCTGTCTGCATACCTCAACCTCACAGGGGCTCTAGATTTCAAGACGAGGGTTTTTATTTTATATTTTTTTTCTCTAATCCCTCATTTGAAGGTTTAAAACCAGATCTATCAAAATGTTTGCCTTTTAATGTCTGTTAATCTAAGCAGCAGCATCAATAGGTGATATTGGACACACATTTACACTGGAGTACAGCAAGTGTACATTGTGAGTTGGATAATTCTGAGGTTATCTTGCAACTGAGCTCAATGATTAAGCGATGCAAGCTTCCCATGTGGTGTTTTGAAGAGAACAGATGGCTGTAAATTCTGGTTGGAAAAATGAAGCTAATGCTGAAATCCCTTAAACCAACGTTCTGTCTGAAAGCCACCAAATGTCTATTGCTCGGTTTGCAGATTATGAGAACGGCTTTCTAGTAAACTCTTTACTGCTAAGTTTATGGCATCACTCATTTGGGGTTATAACAACAACAGCAAGATGATGTGGTGCTGAAGTCTGACTATACAATGGTACAAGCATTAATGTACACGAGGCTAAATAACAGACAAATGCATGATTGTTCCTGTCGTTGTGGCGGAACATTAGTCATCTGTCTGTTTCATTGGCCTAGATGTGATGGAATCCTCTTTATTTGAGAAATGTACTTAAACCTTTTTGTCACTACTTCCTGTGTTTTCAAGCTACCTCTTTCAAAGGTGAATAAACTGAACAGTGAATGTGTCATTGCTTTAATAAATGCCTAAATGGAACAAGACATTTGATGTTTGTGATGAATTTATATTTGAAGGTTCCTGAATACTGCAGTTGTGGGGAGGAGAAAAACAAACTGGCACAACTGTGTTCACATAAAACCAACTGGACTACATGCTGGCAAAGGCAGAACTCTGATTAAATCAAAGATAATTATCTGTATAGCGGTATAGTAGTGATCATAACTTTTTTTAAAGCTTTTTTTTAATGTAGTTTGAATTTAAAACCTTCATATCTACACCCACATTTTGAAACCAATGTAGCTACACTACTTTGGGTTAAAATTAAGATTGGCGGCTGCTGCAAGCAGGTTTGTTAGTGATAATCTACACTGACTATTTAATGCATGTATTTGAGCTTGTTCCGCATGGTAACTGTTGTCACTGTTGCCGGTTATTAAAAGTTTGATTTAGTGGTGTGACTGGAGCAACAGCCTTCCTGATCTGAACCCAAATGCTGTTTGGTTATTGGACTTCTGTGCAAATCAGTTTGTATCAAATTGAACGGCATGTTCAAACATGTCCCTAAGTGCATGTGGCACCAGATATGCAGGGTTTTTTTTTTTTTTTTTTTTTTAATACACTTATAAAGTGAAGAGAGGAGCTGAGCTGTCTATTGAACATTTGGTTTTGTGTCCATAACTAAAAGGTCCAGCTTTTATGAATAGAGAACTAATTATTTTTCACTCACTGTTTTTTATACTCAAATGTAATAATAACTAGTGATTAAATGATTAATCTTTGGCTCTCTTCTAGTGTGTTGTTTGTCTTGTCTTTCTGGCTGCCCGTCCGTGAGCCTGGTTCTGTCGGAGCTTTCTTCTTGTTAAAAGAGAGTTTTTACTTCCCGTTTGCTCAAAGAGGTTGTTGTAGGGTTACCTTACAGTCCAATGCCTTAAAGTGACTGTTGTGAGTTCACACCATATAAATAAATGTAAATTGAATTAACAGTGTTAGATTTCCAAACCAACTTCATTCTGAGCCAAAGACTAGAAAATATGGTGAAGCAAATCTTCCCTTTGGCTTCACCTGCAGGAGTGCCGAGGTAGGTCTCCCTGCAGGGTTGGTGTTTCCTTCGTCGGGAGCAGCGCTGGGCTGTTTAGATCACGGACAAACAGGATCCCACATTCTTGATCTTTAGTTCACAAACACTTGTTGTAATGACTAACTACTCCTGACATGTTGGAGATGTTTGCTCTTTATACAGTAAAGTTACAGCAGGATACAAATAACATCAGGCTGATCCTGCCACGATTTGTTCCCCCGATTCAAACAAACAGGATTCCACAGCTGTTTATGTTTTTAAACCCATTTTGCACAGAGAGACATTTTTTAAAAAAAATGTATTGACAGCAATGTTGAATATTATTACACAGGGAAAATAATCATCACACCGTGACGCCTCTGCCTTTGTAAATAGAAGGACAGTAACTGGGTGTTTATGTAAGCGTGTAAAACCTGAAGATAGAGACAAAATACTGTTAATCTGCCATTCTGCAATTCCTCTCATGTAAGCAATAACGTGGCGCACAGCTGACGTGAAAAAAGGCACATACCTTTAACGTTGCGTGACGAACTCTGTATTCCTCGTCCACACGTAAACGCAAAAAATGAGTTTTAAAAAATCTCAGTTTTGTGTGTGATTCGAAACACGTGGACGAAACAGCTGCGTTTTCAAAAATACCCGTGTAGGTGCGGACGTAGCGTAAAAGAGTTAGTAGTTTATTTTCTTACTACCTGCAGGTTACTTGTATTTGCTTAATTGTTTAGTAAATGTTTGAGGTGAGAAATAAACCGCAATTGAGCAAAATATGGGCGTGTGGGCGTGCGTGCGTGTGCGCGCGCGCGCGAGCGGTTTGGAAACCACTGATCTATATCATCACTATCGAGGATGATTTAAATAAATGTTTTAATGAAACGCGTAGATAATGAATATAAATAAACCAATGGACATTGAGAAATCAATCAGTCAGCACATATATTCGAACATAACGCTTAGTGTTGCTATTCTGGAGTAGAAAGAAAATTAGAGCAACAATGCAAGCGGGGAAAGGGGCAGCTGTTCTAGAGCTTTTTGTCAGCAATATTTCAGTTTTGCTCAAAAAAGATTTGTATAGCTTTATGAAATGGACTATAACGAAATAAACGTTTTATATTAGGTAACAAAATAAAACAAAACAAATAAAAACGGGCGGGGACGGGTAGGTGGACAGAATCGGGCGGAGGAAGGTCTGAAGACGGAGGCGGAGTTTTGAGGTTCTTTGGGTTTTTGGGTTTTTTTTGACGCCGAGTAACTTTCTCTGAGAGGAGCGTTGAAAGTGCCAAAGGAGAAGGTGGAAGGTAAAGGTAAGCTGCTGTCACCGTTTATTCGTGTAAACCAAATAACAGCTTCCGCTGTGCAGAGTCCGGCCAGCGCTGTTCTCAGTAGTAAAATGCTTACTTGGCAAAAGTAAAAGGGATGGACGTGCCTATCACGAGTTTCAGCCTCCTGCCAACGTCTGAGACGCATAAACAGAAAAATCTAGCAGACCTAAAGCGACAAAGCTGCGCTCAGTGCTGCAGAATCTCGTAGTCGGAAATTTTACGCTCACTTTCTGACTTCTTGTACTTTTAAGTGCTACACCAGTATAGTTAAAACGCCTGTAAAATGACCATTTGCGTTAGAGTAAGGCTAGAAAATTCCGTGTTCTGCTGCGCATCTTCCATCACATCACAGATCAACGCATATGAAAAATGAAGTGTGTTAGTAGTAGTGAAATTAAAATTAACTTTGCGGAACTGTTTGTAGTGAATTTAAGATGTAAGATGTACTATTATTAGCTCTGCAGTTAATGAAGAATGTCTGGGGTTTGGTGCTTCTGTCACTTGATTATCGTTGAAGAACAGAGCACCCATAGCTGGTTCATAATTAGCCTGTAGAGCTCTGGGCTCAACAGCCCTTCTGTCTTGATATCATGACATTTTGATAGGATGGATTTTCATGATAACCAAACCAGTCTTATGACTTTTCCTTCCAGATCTATTGAGTGGGGTGTGGGATAGATAAGCAGGCTCCTCAGCTTCCTTTGTATGCTATACCAAAAAGTTGGTTTGTCAGTAGCATGTTGCAAATATTAAAAAAGGAGAAGTAAACTGGGATTGACTAACATGGAGAAATCTGTAGAGAAGGTATACAGCATTTTGAACATATGCCATTTTTGGTCATAAGTGGAACCTGCAACATTGCTCAACTTTATGAACTACAGCTTGCAAAATGTCGGTTTATGGCTCCACACTTCATGGCTTTAAAGTGAAATGCACACTTCTCTCCAAGGTGCGCTGAAGTGGGACGTGGTCCTCTCTCTTCATCCCTCAACCTGCCATCATGTCTCGGTACCTGAAGCATTTCACTGCTGTGGGGGACCAGCATGTGGTCCATAGCGACGAGGAAGAACTGCATGTTTCCAGTGAGGAGTTGAGTCCGGCTACGGCACAGCTTCCAGTTACGTTAACATTTAGGGATTCATTCAAGAGGCTCTACAGCTCAGAACGTTTCCAGGTATGTCGCTGTAGTCTTTTCAGAAAATGTACCAAAGAAACTGTTGTCTGAGCCTTCCAGTCTGCCAAAGCTACTAAGCTATTACAATGACAGAGAAATATGAGGGTGGGCAAACGATTCCAGGAAAAGTCCATAAAAATAAAAAAATGTAAATTTGGTTGAGCTTCTGTTCGGGATCATCATCTCAGTCATGTCTGGACAGCTTTTAAAGCGGCTGCTGTTGTTTTGGAGATTTAGAGTAACAGAAGTCAGGCGTCTGACCACGCCTCCATACACGCTCCTTATGGTTCTCATCTGTATAGGTTCCCCCAGTCTACAAACTGTTCATTCTCGTTTACGTGCCTTTATCGAAGTTTTGTTCTGACCAGTGGGGTGGCTTTAGCTCAGGAGGTAGAGCAGGTCATCTTCTAATCAGAAGCTTGGTGGTTTGATCCCACAGTTACGGGTAACAAGTGTTTCAGAGGATTCCTCATCATTTTTTGAATATTGACTGGATTATGCCATAGAACAGTGAAACACAGGTATTCAATGGGCTATGCAGAATTAGCGTCCTTTTAACTGTACCAGTTTATAACCCAGCTATTGTTCCATATTTTTCCTCAAAGTGCAGCAAAAGACAAAGTTTAAAGCAAGAGGACCTTATTTTCTGCACAATGTCAGATATTAGATTTAGTTCAACTACAACTGGTTTTGAGCTCAAGTACCTTCCACCACAGTTTTTTTCTTTTACTTTGAAAACTAATAGAAGCTGACATCATAACTGTCTCTGCTTGCAGGTGTTGGTTGTGTGTTTGGTAATCCTGGATGCCATCTTTGTCTTGGCTGAGTTGCTTATAGATCTGGCTGTCATCAAGCTCGAGCATGGCCACATTGCTCCAGAGGCAAGCAACTTTTCTTCACAGTCTAAGAGACATCCCATGGGTATTACTGAGATTTTACTACACTGTTATGTGTTTTTCAGGTTTTTCACTACCTGAGCTTGGCTGTTCTCACCTTCTTCATGTTGGAGCTGGCTGGGAAGATGTTTGCATACCGCTTGGAATTCTTCCTGCACAAATTCGAGGTGTTTGATGGTTTTGTGGTGATAGTGTCTTTCATCTTGGACATTGTCTTCATCTTCCATGAGGACGCTTTTGATGGGATAGGTCTTCTGATCCTGCTCCGACTCTGGAGGGTAGCCAGGATTATCAACGGTCAGTGCCACTCTGCAGTGTTCACAGGAAATGGATGAAATGATAAACCAACGGTCATGGCTCTGATTATTTAATCAGCTCATCAATGATGCAACAGCATCACATGTCTCTGAGTTCCTCTTGCCTCCTCTCTTTTATGATCGTCTTCATTTACATTCACATTTTGATTGTCCGCTATGTACATTCATGTTCAAATTGCTAAAAGAATACATTTTTATCTTGCTGCAAAGCAGATTGGGAATGTAAAATACATTAGACGTCACTATTCAGAAAGCACAATGGTGGCCCACTAAAAGATTTTTTTCACATTGTTGTATTTGCAGGTTTTGTTTTTTGGTTTTATATGAGATCAAAATGACTGATGTTAAGTTCCAGATGTCATGGTTAGCAGGGCAAAGTTTAAAATGCTGACCATTTTTTATTTTGTTGTAGGAATCCTAGTGTCAGTGAAGACCCGTGCAGACCAGAAGGTTCACAAGCTGAAGGAAAGCTATGACCACCTGGTTCAAAGAGTCACTGAGCTACAGGAGCGCAGTGATAAACTGGTGATGTCAAATATTCATGAAGATTACTGCTGGCAGGCTTGGACTACTTATGTCTTGTGAGATGCTTAGTGTATCAGGAATCTTTCACCCCTGCACAGAGATTACAGATTACTGCCTGGTTACCGAAAAGTCAGTTTCTTTTCTGGGACCTCATTCTCTAGAGAACGAGGTCCCAGTGACACACTTCCTGACCATAAAAATACTGGTGTCATTCCTCAGCCTCCTAGTAGATGCACCTATGGTATAAATTCAAAAATCCTCAGATTTTCAGAAAAACTGACCTCTGACCTTGATTGGTTAATGTCACTGGGCTACACGCTTGTCTGAGAGTTTTAGTAGATGCCCTCGTGCTACTTAGCCTCATTCTTGTGTTCACAAAATCTGACCTTGACCTTGAGGACGAGGTCACTCAGGTTCTTAGTAGAGATGTCACCTCATTCACTGCTTCAGGATTCAACTTCGAGAGTTTTCCAGAAGTGTGGCAAAGTCAGAAAAGCTTCATACTTTAGATTCACTCCTTCTGGTGTGAGGACAGAGAGGTGACTCTTTTAGTAACATTATTAGGGAGCTAAAGTGAACCGATATGAGCCAAACTCATAACGAAAGCAAACGTTGACCTTTTCTTTTTTTAAAGCTTTGTTTAGTTCTAGTCACTCTTTCATTCTGTTTTTTAATGTTAACGAGCTCACAGTTACAGTAGGATAACATTATCCTTAGTTAGCTTGCCGCTTAAAACAAATGAAAACACCAAGTTCCCAAATGGACAGTCCCAGTGGGGGAACTCTTTAGGCCTGGAATTCCACAAAAACTGCAGTAATGATGGCAGATCGCTCACAACACACTCAGTCCTGCTTTGGATTTCAGGCAGTAGAAGGCAAAACTGTAATGCTGCTGACTGAGTGATGAATACAGTTACTGATAAGATCTCCATGCACATTAAGTCAGTATCAGAATCCTCATTGGCATTGTAGCAGTAAAACAGCTAAGACGATACAGACACTCAATAAAATTAAAATTAGTAAAAAACATATAAATTATATACACAGTATATATTCAAATGCATCTATAAACTAAACCAGTACTGTTGTCTGGTATTTCCTTTCTTGTTGAGGAAGTGGTGACTGTTATTCTGTGCACGGGGAATATCAGATATATTTATTATAACTTATTTTACTTTTTGTCTGTTTTGTAAATTTCACAGCAGTAATACAGAAAGGTGTCTGTTATTTAGCAATTTAGGCTTTACTCCTTCATATTGTTACTCAGAAGGCTTAAGTATGTGGCACGAAGGCCTACAGTGAGTAACAAGGTGATTCTTGTCTGTGTTTGCAGGCACAAGAGAACGACAACCTGAAAGCCCTCCTCAAGAAGCACGGCATAGACGTCTAGCTCAACAAGCTCACTGCTGCAGAGCTACTTGTACCCACATGCTGCAGAACATTTAATGGTTTAGTACTAACTGCACTGAGATTTAATGTCATCATTATTGTGGTGATGGAGACAAATTAAGGGACTGCACTTGCATCATGAATTTCCAGTATATACATGTTAGTGATTTTCATGCCATAAAGCCTAAAGCACCTGTAAATAAGTGAAAGGCAGAACGATAACTTGTACATAAAACTACATCTTAATGTGATTTTGGAGTTCTGTATGACCTGTTAGAACAAATTTAAACCATTGATTTCAAGAACTGAGAAACGAATGTGAAACCATGTATTAAATTTTATTATAAAAAAGGGAAAACTCAGATGTACATTATTCACACAATACACAGTTGCAGACTGATGGTCCAATAACAGTACTAGTGATGACCACACACTGTACCAGTGTTTATGGGGAAGCTTAAATAAGTGAAAGCTGCAGTTGGATCAAACAAAAGGGAAGAAGAAGTCAAAGGGCAGTTTGGCATTGATGGTAGGTGTGGCCCTGTAACCAGGAAGAGCAGCAGCAGATACTGGGATGAAGGCCACTGAGCTTCTGATTGGAAGGACACTGCTGCCTCTGGACAACAGGGTCTGTATGAGAATACACACAGTACAAATGATTCTCTCTGCTTGCAGTTTTTTTCTGCTATCAATGCTCCGACAGAAATGATGTCTTACCAAACTGCTGGTGTTGCTCTGAATTACTTCTTTGATGCTCACAATCTGTGCTTGAGGATTCACGAAGGATCCGTAATTGGTCCATTTAATTTCTAAGTGCAGTGACAATGGGATGCTGCAACTTGGAGCTTCCTGCAAGTCAGAAACATGACAGTGAATTCACTTCTGTTTAAGACCTCAGACCTCAATTTAGATCATCTGACTCATCACTCAGTGCAATGACAGTGATCATCGTAAGATACTGTGCCCCTTGTTTGACCTCACTCACTGTGGGATTGAAGTTGGTCTTGATCTGCACCCAGTCCAGGAGATTGTCCAGGCGGGAGTTTCCAAAGGAAGCCACATAATAAGGATAGTTAAATCCTCTCAAAATTCCTAGAAGCTCTTGCGAGACAATAGTGCAATTTACACCATCTTCCAACCTGCAGGATCGAAAAACGTTGCCATCAGAAATTTTAAAGAAAAAACAGCGTTTGTTACATTAAGTGTGATGAATAAAATGTGAGGATGATGTGCCTTAACAGGCAGCCAGACACAGAGTCGTGACCAAAGAGGACAGGTGAGCGCTGATGTGGACCCTGCAGACAGTCCTGGTCCTCAGTGCTGAGGAGCAGAGACAGAGTGTCTCTGAGGTCAATGCTTCTGACAATCCCAGTGGAGAGGAATGTTATGGACAAATCCTGGTTCTTAGAGAACATCAAAACATTACACGTCTTTCATCAACCACTGAAATTCAGTTTAATTTATAGAGCTTCAGTTTACAACAACAATTGTCTCTGTGTTTCACACGGCTAAGGAACCAGCAACAGTACACGATCAGATGATGCCCTACGGGCAGCCTCGGTGATAGCGGGAAGGAAGAACCCTCTTTTAACAGAAAGTTCCAACAAAATCATACTCTGCCACGGCTAGTTAGGGGTTGATAGTAAAGAGCATGGAGAGACCATGGACGCTGAACAAATTTTTAAAAAGAAAGACACAGGAGAGAGAAAACAAAAGTTATGACATGCAGTAGTGGCACATAAACGCCTGGGAAATGATGGAGAACTGTCCTGGGAAAGTTTTCAACTAGCACGTGCCTATATTTTGTATCTCTCTTTATCTTAAAAGTAGAGAAAGTGTCTGTCTCCTGAACCTAAACGGAGCTAAAAGCTCTTCCTTTAGAAACTCTGAACCACAAGCCAGTCTGAAATCTGGCAGCAAATTTTCATACTTAAAATTTTCCCATTAATATTTCAAAAAATTGATTTTTACTTATAGTTTTAATCTTTTATTATAAAACTTTTTTTAACCAAAAAATTGTAATCTTATTTATTTGTTTTTACGCTAACAGAAATGGGCTTGCAGTAGTACAACAATGAGGGAAATCTGTCCTTTATCCAGGTAAAGGATATTCGGCTGTTCTTGTTCCAGACAAAAGCGGCAGGCCGACCACATAACCTGGATTTCCGCTGTAGTGGACATTCACGTCCCCCCCATCTACCTGTTTAGGAGACACAAAACACAGAGCGTTACTCAGATTTAGTGAATGGTCAAGGAGTAACATGTTTTCCTAAATTACTAAACACTTCTTGCAGTCTTTCTCAGAAGGAAGAAATGTAGAGCAATTAAAACGAACAAATCTGTGAAACCAACAAATCCCCTCATTCTAACAGCACCTGATTTGATCTCTACCAGTGAATTGCTGTGGAAGTACACAACACAGAGACAGAAGACAAGCTGGCAATCATAGTTTTGAAGTCAAAGTAATACAACTACAAGCTGTGTTGAACCTGTTCTGCTTCCCTTATTTACTGTCACGTACAGTGGTGAATGTTCACATTAAAATGCTCAAAGTTTCAGATAATTAGGATATGTACAGGTAAACTCAAACATCCCACTTTTATCCTTAACATCATCACCTCGTGTCCACAATTCTGGCAAAGCAGCCTCACCCACACGCTACTTAAATAAGGATATTTTAGCCAGCTTTTGTGAGGGGCTAAAACATTTGTGACAGATTGTTCCAAAAAAATAAACCATTACACATACATAGGTTTGTTTGAATATACTACCTGGATGTACGTGACCTGAAACTCCTGTTCCAAATGCAGCACAGCTTCAGTTACAAATCCAAGCACCACAGACACCGTTGCATTTTCTATCTTACCCTGTGGGTTGTACTTTATCACATAGAGAACCTGAGGAGACATAATTTTCTAATTACACACTTTCAATTAACTTATTTTTGCATATAACTTTTAAATAGGGAGAAGTGTTGGGGTGGTTAACAAATAAAGACTTAGTATTGCTTAGATTGCTTCATTTAGATGTAAGGGAATGGCACCAGACATGGAAATACAATTAGGTGCACGTCACTGGAAAAGCATAAGATGTTTCCCTTTTGGAAAGTTGATTGTGTTTGAATTGCCTCAATGTACTTTCACGTCCCACCTCCAAAGATAACTGACAACACAGGCATGTCTGGGTGCCTATGTCCAGACTTTTGCATCTCTCTGAAATGACTGCGTGCCTGTGTGTTTGTGTGGAGTAAATGGCCTGTATTTGTATAGCGCTTTATTTAGTCCCTAAGGACCCCAAAGCGCTTTACACAACCAGTCATCCACCCGTTCACACACACTTTCACACACTGGTGATGGCAGCTACGTTGTAGCCACAGCCGCCCTGGGGCGCACTGACAGAGGCTGGCTACACGGACTCGTGATCATCATCATCCAGAAAAAAACAGGAAGAGATTCGACTTTTGCACACAATTTTAAACCAGAGTGTAATGTGGTCACATCTGTAGACTTTACTTTTCAGAAAAAAAATCTCCTGTGTTTGTGGAGAGCACAGCAAAGACGTCAACACAGATAGGTGTGATATTTTCCACAGCTGGATGACTCAGTGGAACTACAGGTCTAATTAAAAAAACTAACTAAATGTCACGAATTAACAACATTACAGGATGTTTCACTGTATAATATATTTATGATATATTTATTATACTATGTTATGTAACTCAGTCAACATTGTATGCTAATGGATGTCAAATATGTGTGTCAACCATTTCTTCATGCTGGAAGTGAGAAATAAACTCCAGTGTGTGTGACCCACCTTCAGCACCACATTACCACAGAGGGTGGGGTTGATGAGAACAGGACTGATGTTTCCTCCACCTGTGACCTTCAGCTCAGTCTGAGTGTGATCTGCAGACTGTAGGATGACTGAAGACACCACCACAGGAACAACCTCCAGCAACAGCAGGGACTCATATCAGTCTTCATTTAACTGTGTTTCTGAACTTCTGACACATTAAAACTACTGCACTACAATACAGAATGCACCAGCGGCTGTCTAACATGATGGCAGTTTTAAACAGCACAGCATGCTGCAAATACTACTCAGTAAATAGTCATCTAAAACACAACTGTGTTCTGAATGTTAATGTGAAAATAAGTGATTGCTAGTTGCTCTTTAGGAACTGAGCAGAAAGTTGTGCCACTGTTCCTGTTACTGCATTGCAGCACTTAACCTCAAGTTTGTTTGTGCGTGTTGTGCAACTTACAACATGTAGCAACATCAAAGGAGACACAATCAGGAGAAGCTGTCTGTGTCTTACTAAATGTCCTGGTCCACCTAAAGGTGTTTGGCATGGGAAGATTCTGAACATAGATTTTATCACCTGGTTATTTTATGCATTACAAACCACCATGAGTTTATCTGAGCCAGGTTTTATATTAATATTACTGAGTTGGTGCATTAAAGGATTTTAGTGGGCATCAAAACCAAATTTAGGGGTGTACAGTCATGGTTAAGATAAATAAACTTTACATATTATACCGTATTGATTATGTATTTAACAAAAATGAAGACATTTTGCTCGTCCAGAGGATTAAGCTGATTGTTAACACGATGATAAGGAGAAAAAAATCATTCTGGGACGTGTTATGAAGGGCATTGCAAAACAATCGAAAATTGAAATATTTGTCACAGGAGGAAACATTCAAGATACTTTCCAATTTTCCCAGAACTGGATGCCCCAGCAAATTCACCGCAAGGTCAGAACCTGCAATGCTCACAGAAATTCAAGAGCTACAGTGTTATGAAAAAAATTGTTACATTTATTATTTGTCACATGTTTCAGATCATGGAATTCATCTTATATTGTATTTACCTAATTTTAAACTTGGTAAAGTTTTTTATAATGTCAATCTGTAGTCTTAGAAGTTGCATAGGGTATATTTTATACCATGACTGTAGCTTTAATGAAACAGCGGGAAATTAGGTGCAATGGTAGTGTCAAAAAGTACAAAGGAATATAAATCTTCACATCACAGAGAATCTTTCTACAGCTAAAAACGACTTTGTTTGCTTAATCAACTAATCTTGCAAATACATATGTACACAAACACAAATGTTTAAAACTCAGAGCCACTGACACAAGCAATTAAAGATACGTGAATGCGTCATTAATCTGTGTTGTATTATGTCAGCTCAAACAACCATTGTGAAATCTACTTGCTTGCCATGTAATGACTCATATGGAAAAGAAATAGTAAAAACTTACATGATTTACTCATGAAAGTGGCCACTTTCTTATTACTTTCATATATTTTTTTAGTAAGTATCCAAAACATACAAGTTTCATTATATGATTTTTCAGGGGATCATATATGTGTTTTCACTCTTGTATGCTTTTCATACAAGTTTCACACAAGACGGATACAAACTTTATAAGATTTATATCTTTTCCATATGGGAATTCTGTGTGTATCTCTTTTTTTTTCCGTTGCTTCAATTTAATAAAAATATCTTTGAGAAAATTATTACAAATTCACAAAGCTAATGTATACAGGTCGTCTGTTTTGTCAGATTAACTGTTTATAACATCTACACTGTTTTTAATGAACACATTTAAGAGTCTGTGACCTCGTCTTGTTAACTTGGATTTTTTTTAATTTATCAGTTAACTGATAATTAGTTAGTATGTTTAACTCTGATAAACATACTAACTGTTTCTGAGTTAAACAAATAGAGAAAGGTCAGGATACTTACTGCTGCATCTGTGCTCATATCCTGTCAAGCACAAAACATTTCACTTTAAACCTTTTAATTAATGATCTATATTTAAACTATATATAGTTAAGGAACACAAAACAGGTGTGCATGCTGTTCATTAGTTGCAATTCAAATTCAATGACATTATAATTCCTGGGCATAAAGTGAACTTCACTTCAACAATACACTGTATTAAAGAGTGGATTTTTAAGAGCCAACCAGTGTGTAGCTCAGTAAATGTGAGACTCACACTAAACAGCTGGGTGTCAGTGTAGCTATCCATGCTGAGGGCTGGCAGATGGCCGCAGTCCTGATCCAGGACCACGCGACGGGAGCACCGACTGCTTTGATCCTTCAGGAAAGCTGCAAATCAAACCAGGAAAGCTAAAACAACCTCATTCATACTGATGAAAAAGCCTCTCATCCTTTTCATAAAGCTTTACAGGATGTCAACAAAGGAACTGCTGTTCAATAAGAAAGTGACAGTAAATATGCAAACTCTGGGCACAAGTAAAGACCGACACTTTTTTAAGGAGACTGGGATGAGAAAGAGAATGGCTACATAGTGTAGTGGTTAACACATTCATTTTTCTGCCAGAGACACAAATCCCATTTGAGGTTGCATCTCTGCCAAAGAGCTACCCACTGTGGTGACGCCTTTTGACAAGGGAGCGGTTAAATATCACAAAGCTCCAAAAAATGAAAGTAACACGTTTTAAGCAGATTATGGCATCTAGTCAATTAAACCAGATGGGATACTGATCTGTTCAGTTAAGGAGCAGAGAGCTGCTGCTGAAATTACAGGTGCACTTAAAGACAACAATGAGACAAACAGGTGTGGGTTTTTTATGTGGAGGCCTCTGGCAGCTTTTCCCTCCTCATGTTTTGTGACTGGGCTGGACCTTGCAGAGGTTGCCCAAGTAGTCCAGCTCCACAGGACGGTATGTCAATATGAGCCATTACCAGAAGGTTTTTATGTCTCCGGCGGCCTGGGGACCCAACGTCCTCTAGTGGATCTGCACTCACTGCCATGTATCCTGACTGGGAGTTGCCATAGAATACCAGAATTGGCAGGTCTACCACTGGTGCCCAGTGCTTTACACACAGTAGAACAGGTTTATGCTGGGCACATGTGATAGATATGAAAGAAGCTTTGGAGAACATTATACTGCCTGTAACATCGTTCAGCACGACTGGTTTGGTGGTGGGTCAGTGATGGTCTGCATAGGCACATCAATGGATTGATGCACAGACCTCTACAGACGAGGCAAGGGCGTCCTGATTGTAGAGAAAGATTTAATCCAGGATGAAATCTTTGGCCCCACTGTCACACCCTATGCTGATACAGTAAGTCCTGTTTTTTACTTCATGTTTCAGTCCATCCCATACGGCCAGGTTTTACCTCAGACTGTGCAGGAGCTCAGTGAGGCCCATAAGATCTGGAAGGAGATCCCCTAGGACACCAACCACTGTTTCATTACAAGCACGCCCCGACGTTGTCAGGCATGCATAAAAACACATGCGGGCGATGCCAGCTTCTGAGTAATATTCTTAAATGCTGCAATGAAATTTTTGCCACATTACTTTTTCACTTTGATTGTTGGGTTGTCTTTGAATTCTCTAGGTTGATAATATTGCATCAATGACATGGCCTCATTTCATTCTTTACACTTGGTCAGTCAACATCAGTACAGATATTGTACTTTTGGTCTCCCCAACATTTAAAAGGAGCAACTTTTTATTTTAAAGGCAAACAGCCTCCATTTCCAGTTTGCATTACCTGCTTCAGTTTCACTACCACATGGGGAGTAGTTTGCAAATTGCAAATGTTTACAACATTAAAGGACTCTGGATAGGATTGAGTGACATCAAGTGGTGAGTTTACAGGCTGCAGAAAAAACAAATTCCCCCTCTCTTTACAAGTGTCCAGGTAAATCTACAGCGGTCAGTGGAAACACCGCTACTCATAGTTAAAAGTGATGATGTCATAATAATGAATACATTTTACTTTCTATAATTTACAAGTACAAAGGCATTACCTGCAGGACTGTTATCCACACAATCAGCAGTGACACCGGGAGCTGGCAGTTGCAAGATCTCTCTCTGTTCAGCCGCCCCTGCCGTCACGATCACATCCCCATACTGAAAAGCCAAAGCATCAGCAGAGAATGAACAGACAGGAAAATGGCAAGTTCAGACTCACCTATGAAGGAGTGCACTGAGTGTTCTTACTGAGTTTCTTTGAAAACAAGTTCCTCACAGGTTGTGGACTAAACATACCTTCATATGTTAAAGTACTCATGGACTATCTAAGAATAAAAAAGTCACTGACTGATTCGATGTGGACAAACGTACACTTACTGATACTACATGAGCTATAAGCAGTGACTCCTTTCAAACAGAGGCTCACCTGGTATCCGCCCGAGGTCTGGAGGTTTACAGAGGACGCCTGGTTAACTTTCTCTAAACCGAAAATATAGCTGGTGAATTGTTTAAAGAGCGACACAAAGTTGCTGTCAGTTGGCAGAGCGGGAGAGGGATATGACAGTCCATCAACTCCTGCAGAAAAAAAGAAACCAGCTCAGATAGTCATTAAGGAAGCTATTATACATAATATTGTAAATAACACACTGTTAAATTTGCCTTTTTTAACTTTACCAAACTTATGTGCAAATGGTTTCTTGAAGCGTTTACTCTAACACTCCATAAAAGCCCATTTGCTGACTTACGGTTTTGTGACTCGATGCAGAAGATGTCGTAGTTGGTCTCCTTCTGAACAGATGATTGCAGCTCTGAATAACCGTCTGCTGCTCTCCTTAAAGAATACAATGCCACATCATGGCTGCACATCTGCTTGCTGCCACTGCAAAGTGATGAAAGACAAAGAAGGAGCTTATTGCTATGGACATGCAGACAAATGCAGATGTTTTGCTGAATTGTTTGCTCTACTGGGAAACATTTTTATGGATTTCATCTTTTAGCAAGAGAAGACCAAGTGTTGCCATTTGTTTACTGTTGCTTTGATCAGGTCAGTGCAGTGTGCATGAACATTTCCACAGTCAGCTGTCCATCAGTAGGACAACAAGCATACAAACCGCTGAATGTTTTCACTCAGTAATAACATTTCTTAAAAGTCTTAAACTGTTAGGTTGATGGTCAGTTTGGGGGATTAATGGTTCTTCTATAAGTCACATTTATGAGTTTTTCTGTAGCTGAAGTTAACCCTCACTAACAAACAGTTGTTTTAATTGAGTGGTTTTTTAGTCCTATTAAAGGAAGTGCATTAGGCTATAGAAAGAAAGCAGGGCTAAAATTGGATGTGTTTGGACTATTTAATATTTGAGGGCATGTGTGCATGTAAACTGTTTTTTACAATTTGGCCAAAGCAGCCAACATTTTCCTCAGTGAACTCAGGTGGAGTGATGTTTTTCTAGCATGGACGACAGCAACACACACGATCAAAGCCACCACAAAGCCAATAAGCGTCCTTTATTAAACCACTTGTTTAACAAGCTGAAACTTAAAGAAATGCTTACTTTGCTCCTGTTTGCACCAACCACTGTTTTTAAATATAAAATACAGCAATACCACACACTGGCACATAAAAACATTCTAACAAAATCTATTTATTATACCGCACAGAGCCAAGAGGAGAAAAATCTATTCTTGTGAACTGACACTGCAGCCCATTAGTAGAAAAAGAGAAGATTTTCAGCTGGACTTCTACATACCTCACAGTGGGATAAGAGCAACTGGTGAACAGAGGCACATCCCCACTACACACTCTGTCACAACAGCAGTTGATGTCACATACATCCATCTGCTCATCGCAGGGACATAACCTGTCAGCTGACACACACACAAACACACACAGGTCAGATAGTTCATATTTTCTAAATGACGAACAGTCTTGATGCATTCAGTACATTACAAATGGTACAAATATAAAACGGCAGTTGTGTGTACAACTAGGTTTAATGTTCAAGCCATTAATAAACACAAGAGGCAACATATTAGGAAAACTTTTAAGCATAATGTAGTTCATTTTGTCCACACCCTATCTGATCAAATTTTAATTCATGCTAAACACATAAATAAAAATAAATAAAACTGATATCACAGGAGAGGATCAGGAACGAGCTTCAACTGGAGCTCTTACTCTGACTAACTGTGAACAACTGGGACTTGGCTTCTGACAAGTTCAATAATTATTTAGAAAATATGTACTAAATGCAGAGAGGTTAAAGGATCCCTGTAAAGGAGGGTAAAACGTTTTGGGAAGAGGTAACATGTCAGAATATTATTTCAAAATAAATTTAACTACTTTGGAGTTCAGAATGGATCTGATTGAAAATAAAGAAACACAAAAAAGTAATGTCAGAGCAGTCGTATTATTCATACACAGGTCTGTGTGTCAGCGCATGTGCACGCTCTCCTTAAACGAAGAGTCTGTATATACCTGGCATTAATGAGCATCCCAGGTTTTTATCTATCCGAATGAAAAACATAAAATACCACAAGGTCAGATCAAACGCCACGTTAAAATATCTTCATTTAACATTTTCCTTACTACCTCCGAGAGAACAGATATCCTAGCCACAGTTGTACAATGGGTACAATGGGTATGGGTTTAATTTGAATGTGTCCACATCTCTGAAAGTAGCTGGCAAACTGAATTACCTAAAAGCTATTTTGGTGGACAAAGAAAAACAGTGAACATGTGCTAAAAACGGGGGGACTGGGGTAGAAACTGGGGTTAAATCACAGCGACAGGTTACCACTGGTGAGAGGAGTGGGTAGGTGCCCGGAGACTGGCAGGGGCACGGCCGGTAGGTTCGGCATCTCGGTGCTGTAGCTCGGAGCTGTGGTCGTGCTCTCGGACGCTGGAGGCTGTGTACGCGGATAACTCTCAGTAACATTATAAATAAGATTGTAGGCATCAAAAGCCGTCGTATTAAAGTCGCTCTCTGTTGTGTTTACAGTAACGACAGTAAGCATGAGAAATAAATAGAAGAACTCTGGATCGCACTTGACTACAGTTGTGACCGCCATGGATATTTACTCGTTGCTATGGTTCTTCTTCTTCTGTTGCTGCTGCTTCTTCTTCTATGGCCCTTAATGGCGGGTGGCAAACCAATTGTAAGTAATTTACCGCCACCTAGTGGGTACTGTACGGGTTTCCGCCCGCATTACCGCCACCTTTCATCGGTGTACAGATCTGCCAAATGTTTGGTTGAATTGATGGTGGAATTATCAACGTTTGACAGCTGAGTCCGGTGAGAGGATGAACTGAAATCACTGTGCAAACACACATTTATAATTATTTATTTTATTTATAGTTAGCAACTGTTATGACTGCTACAACGTTGACCCATTTTTGTGAAGCTAAGTCAGTTCCAATGGTCAGTTCCCTTGTCATCATCCAACTGACACCAGTGTTTCCAAATAAATGTAGTTAATGGGTATTAACTAGGAAGTTGTGATTCACTACATCTATCTGACAGCAACAGTTCACTAACTAAATTAGGTCATCCTGGGACTAAAACCAGGATGCTGGTCTGAGTGTCATCATTGTCCAGACAGGACTCCAGTTCTTCTGCCAAAAGCCAGTACACCTTGCTGCTTCCCAAGGTTTGACTTGTAACTCCAGGCTAACAGGCCTGGCCAAAGAGCAATCCATGTTTGTCCAGGACTGCTTATTTTTGGTATTTGGGTATATTTAACCTGGTCCTCATCAGTGGCGTGTCTAGAAAATGTTTGTTGGGGGGGCCAGGTAGGGGCACAGATTTGGAGAAGGGTGGCAGATTTAATTGGCAGATAATGTTTTAAAAAAAAAATTCTACCAACCATTAACCATAATTCAATAATCCTATAAACCTAATAACCAAATGCACTTTTAACTCTTATTAGAATGAGATTTTAACCACTACGGTGCAAAGTTTTTAGATACTGCTTTGATAAAGTACAAGAGATACAATCAGTGCTTTGTCAGTGTTTACTCAGCATTCAAGGACATCAATATTTGCATAGTATTTTTACTGACATATAGTGCACATATGTTTTGGGCAAAAACATTTTTGAATATTAAAATACAAACATTTGTAACATACAATTGACAAATTAGCCAATGCCAATGCAAAACTTTATCTGCCTGTTAAAAAAAGAAGATAATCTTCTCACAAACTGGTGTTTGATTTTGAAACAGGAAAAAAGTGGAGAAACAACTGAAAAGACTAACATTTGAATAAAACCTGAAAGCAAGTAAATACTTTCTATGCTGCCTTATGGTAAACTTTGGTAATATTGATAAAGAACAACACTGCCTGATGATGAAATACAGTCAGCTGGCATGGTGACACTGCCAGTATTAACCTGCAGGGCTGGACTGGGACAGAAAATCGGGCATTTTGACTACTGACCGGCCCACCAGGTAGTAAAACCATAAAGACTTTGAATGAAAACAAACGCTGTGGTGACAGTGATGTACAGTCTTGTTGGTATATGTATGATTTCTATACATTTTACGTCAGATAAAAACTTTGGTTGTAAGATTTAGATAATTATTTAATAAAAGCTAGATATTTAAATTGAGAATAAGAAAGAAAAGTATTTCTTTGTGCCCCCTTTCCCTGTTAATGCCCTACCTGCCCCCCTGGCAAAACTTTGCTAGACCCGCCCCTGCACAGTTACCAGCTGTCAGCTACATAAAAAAGGATCCTGGTGTTATTTGTCTCTCGGAAACAGTTCATAACTTCCCTTCAACTCATTCATGTCACCTAAAAGGTAAACCTGTTTCTCCATCACCTGTTCAGCTCTGATGATTCAGTAAGGACATCTCCTGGTTTCATGTTTCCCTCTCACCACATATACAAACAGACATCATGACCAGCAGCTTTACAGCTGTGGCTCCAGCAAACATCAGCTGATACTAGAAATTAATATTAAATAAATTCTAACAACAGCCGATCAAGCTTAAACGTGCTGCTGTTGTTTAGCGCAACATCTGCTGGTTTCCTGTTTCTGGCGCAAAGTGGGCGATAAACAAGAGAGAAAAGCCGATCAGCTGATCATTGATCAGTTTCATGATTGAAGTAGCAACAGGAGAGGCAGGGGGAGAGGATGAGAGAAGAGGCAGCTGTGCAGCGTAAAGACAGAATAAATCCAGCTTTGTGTCTTTTTCCATCCTAGCTGAAGTTCGGGACAAACTGTGTCTCTTCTCAGCTCAATATGAAACGCGTAATATTTTCTCTGAATGGGGGACCATTCCATTTTTTTAAGGAGCCGTTGGCAACTCTACTAACCTTATGAATAAAATAAAGTTCACTATCAGTAACATCATAGCACCCACCCAGCTGTATAAAAACTCCGTCAAGCTGGCTAGAACGCAGTATGAGTTATTGCAACTGACAGTAAAAAGTCAGCACAACGAAAATAAACTGCACCTAAACCTGGTTTATATCTGACCCAGATAGACTGCAGGTCATAACTTCTTACCTGAAGTTCAGTTCACCTGACACTCGGACTGGCGGCTGCTTCGGGTCTCTCCTCCTGCCTCCCCTTCCCTCATCCACCTGTTGCCTCTGTGGAAGCCCCGTCATAGCCACCACCAAACAACGGAGTTATTTCTACACATCGACCTGCATCTGGCCAATCCACCACCTCTCATTGTTCATGCCGTTACAAAAAAAATAAAAAATAAGTCAAATAAGCCCGATGGCCAGTCCAGCTATGTTAACCTGCAACCAAATCTGCAGCTCCATACAGCAATGTTACGACTTAGATTATATCTTATAACTCATAACTCTTATGTTAGCTGCCCTCAGTAGCATACTGTCTGAAATATTCCACAGCTGCAATAATTCCTTTAAGTGTTATTTTTTCCTTGGTATTCTAATTTCACCGAAGTTTACTAAACTCAACAAACTTGATATTACTTACCGGGACATTTATTCTGTCCTCATTTTCTTTCACCGAAAAATTGTTTCCTGCAGTGCCGTCTTTTGCGCTTGGCTCTCCTACCTTTGCTAACGTGATGCGCGTAGCGCAGAAGCCGATGCTGCATTCACTTACACTCGGATATCTGAGCGTCACCGTGAAAACATAATCGGACATTTGATATTTGATTGAATTTTATTGTTTTGCCTTTGGGGTGGCACCTGGGGTGGCCAGTCTGGTTGGGGGGGTGGCCTGTGCACCCCCAGGCCACCCCGCTGGACACGCCATTGGTCCTCATATCTGAAGGCTGCTCCCCTGCCCCCCAATGTGCCACTTGGGAACCTGGTAGATGGGTGTGGTTTCTCCACCCTAAAATCGAAACTATAAAATGTTTTCAGTTTCAAGTCGGATCCCCTGATCTCCTCTGATATGATGGTCCTATAACATTGCTCCAGACTCTGTGAGAGATGTATAATCAGAGTAATGAAGTAATCAATCATCAGACCTTCACAATGACCAACTTAAACCAAGCTGACAGGGTTTGAAATTTGTTGCAGTGCAGATTAAAGGAAAGGTTGCTGAAACTGTGAGTATTGCCTTAAGGGTGTTGATGCCCTAAACCAAACTTGTAACAGGTCTAAAGGAAACTTTTTAATAGGAAAAAGAAGAAATAAAAATAACTTATTAGTCTGTTGTAATGACATCACCATTAAACCATCGAAGAGTTCAAATTATATTTTAGTGGTAGATTAAAAAATGTTTCAAAATTCAGTGACTGAAGTCCATTTCTTCAGTGCGTCTTTACTTTGAGCCTCTTCTTCACCAAAACTTCTCCATCAAACCAGGAAATAAAGTTTGCTTGGTCAGATTACGAGTTTAAATCACCTTTCCATCCACAAGATGGCGACACAGAACAACAAAACACAAGTTTCAGTGTCCTGCACAGCGGGCATTTGGAAAGGACAGAAACAACAGAACGAAGGAATATGAGAGAAATAATAGTATCATTAATTATTAATATCTTATGAATATTGTCATTATTTATAGAATGATAACACAATATTAGTACATGGGAATACTAATACTGTCTCCTCACCTAAACAGAAGAATTAGTATAGTCGGAGTGGAATTCAGCAGGTGGGGGAAGCTCGGTTGTGCTGACTCAGCACAAAATAAACAAAATGACAACAAACAAAAATTTCTATTGAGAGCTGAAGTCGATTTTCTTTGCACACAGGCCAGCTGTGACCAGCAAGCCTGTGCTTACGCTCCTCTGAAGTTCACTGGTCTTTGTGGATTTGCACAGCTGAATTCAACAAGATGTAAGCAGATGTTTTATGGGATATCTTGGCTTTCCCACACTGGCACTAAAGTGCTCATATTGTATTTATACTAGCCAGTATCCAGTTGCCATAATGGTGGAATCTAATAAAAGAATCTCATCATCATCAGCTTGAATCCAAAGTTTAAATGAAGCTGTGCCACTCTAACCTAACTCTGACCATGAACACCACAACCACCCAGCACCAAGCCAACAGTGTTTTACTATAAATTTAAAGGAAAGCTAACCTATTTATCCCACACTCACCTGACCTGTATTTTCATGCAACCTTCAATACAGTTTGTTTTGAAGGATGTTTCACAACATGAAAAAAAAACACAGCTTCACATTCTGTACAATGTCAGATTTAAAAATTAGGACATTACGTGTAAGCATTAAATTTCCAGCTTATCAAATACCACTGAGCAGTCTTCCTCTCCTGTCCTGTTTTACTTCTTGCTCCATCACCGAGTGAAGTTAATCTCTCCTCTCCCCAGGAAATACAGCAGCTGTACCTTTTACTAGCCTCAGTATTTTTGTTTGTTCAGCTGAGGGTTAATATATACAGATATTCTCAAACTTCATGTTTGAGGAGTTTTGAGTGCTATAGAGACAAACAAATCTTCAAAGCAAAAAATGTTCATCAAAATCTTTTAAGATGTAACCATTCAAGTTACTCGATTAATTGCTTCAGTCCTTTACTGTAATAAGCAGTGCTATATAAATGTTGCTTTTATCTCCATCTGCTCAGACTGAGTGTCTTTGTGAAGACTCATGGTAACCTAAACAACAACAACAACAACATA